AATCCACATCAGCAAGCCGATAATTTATTTGTGTATGAACAAATAAAAGACTATCAACAATCACGTGATATTATGCCACACATATTTATTGTTGGTAAGTTCAATTTATCGAATATTTGGTAATTTTGATTTCGTGATAAGAAAATTCAAGAAAAATACTTTTTTGGTTTGTTTTTCAACGTTGAAAAAAGATATGTATGATTTACATTTAAGACATGTTATGATTCGTAGTGAGAACAAATTTAATTAATCGGAAATATTGTTTTTTTAAGGTGATAAAGCATATCATGATATGATTAAAAAAAATCAATCAATTATTATATTAGGTGAACTAGGTGCTGGTAAGTGAAATAATTCATTCAATTATGATGATTATTTATCTTTTATTTGTCACTTAGGTAAAACAGAAACATCTAAATGTGTTTTACAATATTTAACTGAATCCTACAGTGGTAGTAATGATTTAATGAAAGAACGTTTTATAAAATGTAAGTTCTAAGACGTGTTTTTTGTCTTTTCTAAATACATTTTCTTCTTTTTCTTAGGTAATCTATTATTAGAAGCATTTGGAAATGGTAAAAAGTTTTTGTTTTATTTTCATTTTTTTTTTGATAATAATTATTTTTTCAGCCAAAACAATACATAATAATTCAAGCCATTTTAGTAAAATTATTGAAGTTCATTTTAATAACGAAGTATTTGAAAAATTTTTTAGTTAAAAAGAATAAAAATTTGTTCTTTTTAGTATCAAATTGTTGGTGGTATTTTATCGTATTATTTATTTGAAAAATCTCGTGTATGCGTACAAACAAAAGGTGAAGAAAATTATCATATATTCTATCATCTATGTGTTAATGCACCAGAAGATATTCGAAATACTTTACAATTAAGTTCACCACATAATTTTTATGTAGGTTTTCATTTGATTATAAAAAAAATATCAATATATTTATGAAAATTCTATTCTAGTACCTGAATCATGAAGATTATAAGATGAGTAGTTTCGAATGGTATAAAAATGAAACATATATGTTTTGTCAGAATGTTTTTTATATTTTTTCTTCATGTAAAGCATATTGTACTATTTTATTTCTCTTATTTCAGTTTACATCAAAACAACTTCGTAATCCACGACCGGATAATATAACAGATTTTATTAAATATGATCGAATAATGGATTGTATTGATATTTCACAACAAGATAAATTTAATATTTATAATACTCTGGCTCTCATTCTTCATCTTGGTAATATTAATTTCGAAAATAATCCAAAAAGTACACAATATGAATGTAAGATAATATCAAAGAGCGAACAAGCATTAACAATAACAGCTAAATTGCTTAAGGGCAATATTGATGATCTTCGAAATGCATTAACAACAAAAATTTCAATGATTAACAAAACTGTTATTTCGTATGTGAACTAGATACAAATTTGTTTTTTTTTATTTTTATTTTAAATATTTTTAGCTGTCCATTAACAGTTCTTGAAGCACAAACTGTTCGTGATAAATTAGCCAAAACAATTTATGCTCGATTATTTAATCAAATAGTTGATTTTGTTAATAAATCAATATCATTTAATTCATCAACATCATACATCAGTATTCATAATACAACTGGCTTTGAATATGTTCATATTGGTTCATTTGAACAGTTTTGTATAAAGTATGTTTTATATTAAATAATATTTTATATTATTTGTGGATTTTTTAGTTATTATAATGAAAAAATACATAAATTTCGTAATGATCATTTATTAAAAAATGAAATATTATGTGAAGAAGAAGATCGTATTTTAAACAAACTTGGTTTTACCAATACCGAAGAATGTATCAGTACGTTTTTTTAAATTTTTTTCTTCTTATGTTGCTGCACAGCTTCTTATTTTATTTTAAATAAGAGCATCGTAAAGGTTCAGTTTTGTGATACGTTTGTATAAGTCGTTACCAAACGCCAATTGTGTACAGAAATCGTTCAGTTTTCGAATGACGTTCTTTGGTTGAGAATATTTATTATTTTATTGATTATATCTAACTCACATTTGGAGAAAAACGTCAAATCAAACTTCAAACTTAGCTTGAAATTTTTTCAAGCTTCCTTTATTTTTTATTTTCTGTTACTAATACTATTTCTAGTAAAACACGTTGTTCTATGGTCAAAAGAATTGTCTATTTAATTGGCATGTATAAAAAGTTATTTTACATATTGCATGAAATTATTAGTCATTGTTTGCTCGTATCCAACAGAAAGAATCAATATGAGACCTACAGACACAGTTATTTCATGTAGAAGGCACTATTCTTACATTACATTAGTTATATGTAATAATAAATAAAACTATCAAATTCATTGCTTTATTTAAGAATACGAAGGAACCACCATGTCGAGAAGAAAAAAACCTACTTGACTCATGGTTACGATCACAATCGAGAATGTCGAGAATGTGATCGTAACCAAAAATGATGATCACGTGCGTGCCTACACATACTTAAAGCACACTAAATTTTTTTAATGCAAATGAAAAGTTTTATTATCAATGAAAACTTATAACCTATTCCATTCAAATTCTACGGAACATCAACTTTTCTATAGGACTTTGGATCTTAGTATTTTGCTCTTTTACTTTTTATTTATTTATCTGCTTGATAAGTGATTTTGAATTTTAATGTATTCATTTGTTTTTTTTTTATGTATGTTCCTTTTTTTTTCTTTAGATTTGTTTGAATCTTCAATAACAGGTTGCTTTTATCTATTGGATGAAGAAAGTAAATTACCTGAACCAACATCAGCTCATTTTACAAATGAAGTTTATTCTAAAAATAAAGGTTATGCTAAACTCACGGTAAGAATGAATCTTGTGATGAATTTATTGGTATATACATATATAT